TCTTTAGTGTATTACATGGGTCCGCTAACATCCAAAATATAGCTTCTCAGAACACAGAGCTTGCTGCACATGGTGGCAATATTCAAGAGGCTGAAGCAGGAGGAACACTGGGAGTTCAAGGCCAGGCTTATCTATGTAGTGAGTTTAAGGCCAACCTGAACTACATAGTGAGACCCTGTGTCAAAACAAGAGCAATGACAACAGCAACAATAACAACAAAAATAACTAAACAACAACAACAACAGGTTTAACATATTCTATGATCCATTCTTTTCAAGTCACGGGTGTCATCTAAATAGCTTGTGGGTGAAAGAGATACATGCAAGTGGAGATTTCCTTTCACATAGTTCCTGTTTATCCCCATGGATTTTCCAGATTTCTAGAACAGAAAACCCCTGGGAAAATGGCAAACCATCCTCTGAGAGCAGTCGAAGGAGGAAACCCCCAGAGGTGGTTTGTGGGCCAGGCTGACAGCAGCAGCAAGTGAGCCTCATTGTCCCGAAAGGGTCTTCCATCTTCATCAAGGCACTGGACAAGGCATTCTGTTTCTTTGCATCAGGAAAGGAGAGTAATATATTTCTTTGCCTCAAAGCAATCTTCTAGAGAAAGTGATTGTTCCCGCCACGTCAGTATTTTATCAGAATCAAGACTTTAATGGAAAAATAAAAGGAAATGAATCCTGTTCTCCCAATTCCTCAGCAGGCATGTATTCCAGCCTTTCTTCCTCTTCTACTAACTGAGTCCTAAAATGTGGGCTTTTCTAAGAAACAATTTTATATTTTCAGAATGCTTATTCAAATACAGGACCTTCTCTAGTGCCAGTGTTCTTTCCACATGAAAATTATTCTGTCAATTTTTGCCAAATGTCCATCATCATAAATGAGTCTGATGTTTTTATTATTGCTATTATTTAATTTTTACAAAGAATTTATACTTATCTAGATACTTTCCTTCTCGATTCATATGGTATGACATTTCAACAGTACCCTGGTTCATATAGCCACAGACCAGATAGAAACTTCCAGCCAACAGAGACATCAAATCCACCACAATGGTTAGGAAATACTAAGATAAAAATCTATAGCCATCTATCTTTGACTACCAAGAACATACTAAATATTCTTCTGGTAAATCCTTGTAAAGCATTGCTCTTATTTTCATAGGACAGAAGTAGTTAATCTTGCTAAATGTGGTAGTACACATCTGTAATCCTAGTCACTTGGGAGACTGGGGCAGGAGAATCTTTAAGACCAACCTGGACAACCTAGTTAGACCTTGTTTCAAGAAAAAAAAGTTAATTAAAGAATAAGTCAGTTCACATGTTTTTAAGATTCAAAACATATACAAATGGATTTTGAGATACATTGCCATGGCAGCAAATGTAATGTTTTGATTTTACTTGAAATTTCAATGTTTCAATTAAAATTGTCTACTTCATTTTTTAATTTTTTTTTTTTTGTTATGTAGAGAAGGGCTTACGGATGTTCAGGGTCTCACTACTGGATTGGACTCGTAGTGATTCTTCTGTTTACAGCCTCCCAAGTGCTAGGATTACAGGCACGTGGGCTACCACACCCTGTCTCAATTGCCATCTCAGGCCTCTGTAATCGAACCCCTGGCTCCTGTGCCTGCTTGCAGGAGCTTTAATTCACTGAGCTATTTGGTGAGCCCTTTTAAAAGTTCAGGACTTTTTTTTTTTTTTTTTGGCCTGGCTTAGGCTGCCTTAGTGGTCGGTATGGTGTGGCTTGTGGAGTTGGGGAATGAAGAAATTCATTGCAAACTAGTTGAAGACTGAGAAAAGAAATTATTACAATTAAACAAACAAAAGTTAGATTTCAGGGAAAATGATTAGTCTTCAAAAATCAATGTGTTTATACAGATACCTGGGGATTTTGAGTCAAATAAAGAGGGGAAAACATTCACTCCAAGTCCAATAATCAAAGGCTCTCTGAAGAATACTAAGTAAAACCAAGTGTGTTATTTTAAATATACTTTCTAACTACTGCCATTTATAAGTAACATCTGAAAATCTGCTTTGCCTTACATATCTTTTCAAAACCTTGTTCTATATGTATTTGCACTATGTCAATTATATAGATAAAATAAGATCTGAGAAAGCTTCCTTGAGAAAACATTGTATTTGTGAGAAACTTTGTCCTGATACCTCCTGAGCTCCTTGAAAATGAAAATCTCAGTCTTCTAAATGACAGCCACCTTGTCGGTAGAACCAAAATAGCTCTCTCAGCTAGAGAGCTGTCTGTCAGTGAGAGTTCTGACAGATACTAGATTTGGCATGCAGGAAGGAGGCAAAAAATGGTCCCATGGAAGTAGACTCAGTGAAAGAACCTCCTGCCTAAGGAGAAAGGCAGGAAGGACACTTGGGAAAGTGCCCTCCTAGATACCAGACAGAGCAAAAAGAAAGTAACAGACACTTGAGGTAATAACAGATGGGGGGGAGAGAGGGAGAGAGAGAGAGGGAGAGGAAGAGAGGGAGAGGAAGAGGGAGAGAGGGAGAGAGAGAGAGAGGGAGAGGGAGAGGGAGGGAGAGAGGGAGAGAGGGAGAGAGAATGAATGAGAATGAGGAGTAGCATGTTCCTATTTCCATTATTAACTCTAGTGGAATTTTGAAAGTGCCATGGTTAGGTATAAGGTACACCCACCTGGAAAGTTCCCATGTGTAAAAGGAATCAAATACATTTACATGCACAGGATTTTCTCTCCCTCTAGTGGTGGGGTGGGACTTTTGAATGATAGCCTGTCACTGTATGATATTGCTTCATATGAAGATGGGTTTCCTTAGAGCACATTTTGCTCACAAAGAGGATTTTCCTTAGGCGTGCTTCTATCCATTATCACTGTTTTCAAAGCACTCCCATACTCCATGTGAGGGAGTACATTGTTACCCAAGCATTCTGATTAGTGAAAAGGTAGCAAGGGTCTCTTTTCTCTTTTTGGCTACAGATACAGGATTCTTTTCTCCTCTGTAGTTCCATCAAAGGTGACACTATAGGATACTCATGGACAATTCTCCTGACCTAGTCAGGACCAGAAAAACTTGAGATAGTCAACAAGAAAATCAAGGCATGCACTATGTCAATTATATAGATAAGAGCTGAGAAAAGTTTCCTGGAATTATCTTGAGTAAAGATGAAAATATGAAAACTAAAAAGACAGACACTAAGACAAAGGACCTAAAAAGCAATCTGAAGCTGATATAAAGGGCAATAATTAGAGATAAAGTTCGGAGCACATCTCTACCTTTATCTTCAAGTCAGTAATTTCTTCCATTTTCATCCTTAGATATTTCATACTTAGTATAGTAATGTGGATCAAAGACAGTGAATGGAAAAGTAAAAAGCACAAAAAAAGTAAATGATAACCATTTTAACCATTTTGTAAGTAAAATTTCCTTCTTCAATTTGGAAGAATCACTTGCATAATACCATAACCATGCAGGATATTAATGGAAATAGGCCATAAATTGCAGGTGCCTAATGTAAAGGTTAGATCTGTACTGGAAAATGTATCCATGTGAAGTATGCAGAGTATGCAGCTTTTTCCTGCCCTGTCCTCAGGCATTGATGATGCTTACTCAACTTTGCTCTTGGATGTCTTCAAGGCAACCAAACTATGTTTTCATTGAAAACCTGTTCCTATCCTGTTCCTTTTCTGGCTTCCTCAACTCAGTGAATAACTCTATTAGCATCCAGCTACACAAGCCAGAAATCCACAAGTTACCCATTGGTCTTTCACTAACAGAACCAATCCATCACCAAGTCCTTCACTCTTACTTCCCAAATCTGTTGCAAATAAGCCAATTTCTCTTTGCCTCCACCACTATTTTAATTAATCATTTCTCTTCTAAAGCATCTACTGCCCCAAAGAACATCCACTCCTTTAAGTGCCTTCTCCACCCTGCACTATTTCATTCAACAAATATATTTGAGGAACCTACTTTACACTCTGGAAATACTGTGGTGAAAAACGAGCTGTACAGGCAGAAAATAAACATCGAATGGTCATAAAATTTGTATAGATAATTAAAATAACATTATAAAAATCTTACATTTAAAAAAAATCTTACATTTTAGACTACATGCTCTAAGAGAAAAAAAAAAAAATCAGTTGAGTTTCCACAAGAGTCATGAGGTTTGAAGTAAAAGAATAAAAGTAGTCTGCTGGAATGTTAGTATCTGTTACTAAGGCTTCCTAGAACATAGATTGCTTCAGATGCTGGCGAAGAAGAAGCAGCAGCAGCAGCAGAGAACACACACGATGGTTCTGTCTAGGTCCGTTCATTCCAATTTCAAAGCACCTCTGCTTTAATATAGCACTTATCGTCTACATGGAAGTATCTTTTTTTTTTTTTTTTTGGTCTGTGTGCTCCTCTTTTTAGAATGTAAACTTCAAAAAAACAAGAGCCATAACGATTTGCTTTCTGTCCTACCACCAGTGCCTAAGAATTGAACTTCCCTGAGAGTAAATACTCAAATAAGTACTGGTTGTATCAATGCGCAAGTTCTCAAATAAGTACTGGTTGTATCAATGCGCAAGTTGATGGTCGAAGTAGGACAGCCAACAAACTAAGCGGATTGAGAGCTCAGAAAGTGTTTGCAGTGATATCAAATCACTTGCTTCAGCTCTCAAGTGTAACTGGGCTATACACTCCCTCACCATGATTCTGGGCATTGGGCCTCTAACACCTAGCGCGCGCGCACACACACACACACACACACGCTCACAACCAAAAAAAAAAAAAAAAAAAAAAAAAACCCTCTCCAACTCCCCGCTAGGAGGAGTCACACCTCCCGACCCCGAAACCTTCCCACCTTCTTAGTTCTCTTTCCCGCCCCTCCCGACCAAAGTTCCGGTAGCCCGGAGTCGCAATGATTGCCGGGAATGGTAGTCTTCTAGTCCAAGCCTAGAGCAGTTGAGCGCACTTGCGGAACTACGCTTCCCAGAGGCCCTGGCGGCCGAAGCCGGCTGAGTCACCTGATGAAGGCACGGGCGGTGCGATGGCGGCGCCCATGCTCCGCAGGGTGGGCCTTGGAAGACTTTGGGGTTTCGCATGGGTGGATGGCGGTTCCGGCCACCGAAGAGGGTCCCCGAATGGGTCGACTTCCAGTCGGAGGAGGGAGCAGAGTTCGGTGGCCCAGCAGCCCCTCCACACGGCCCAGAAGCCCAGGAAAGGGTATAAACTTTTCATACCGTTACTGCACGCCTAAGTTTGAACTGCGACTGCAGGACCGGGGCGATGGCAGCCTGCGCAGGCCAGCCTTTGGGCGTTTTCGTGGGACGAACGGTTTTTGCCTATAACGTGAAAATAACACGTGCCTTCTGTCAGCCCCCGGCCCACAAGTAAACCACTCTAGACATAGTTGAGCAACTCGTGAGTGTCAGTAGCACGTTTTCTTGAGCCGATGTCTGCACCGCCGGAAGACTGGCTCTCATCGCTGTGCCGGTCGCGCTAGCAGTGGGGCCGGCGACAGACGGCGCTGCTAAGGGCTGGAAAGGGGTCTGTCCCTGCAGGCTCCGTGTAGTGGTGTAGGTCATTAGTCAGAAGTCATGAGTTAGAAAACGCCAGCTGTTTGTGAAGGCGTTTTATGTTGAACGTGTGAGACCAAGGATGATGTCGCTAACTGAAGAGATCTTTCCCCTGGTTATGTAAAGAGTTTTGCTTATTTTGCTAACTATTTTCCGAACAGCTGCTTCTGATTCGCTGTATAAGATTTAAATAGTTTTTAAAGGACAGACACGTGAGCCATGTTTTTTCATACTTGGTTTTTACTGGAAGCCTGGCATTATCTTTGCTTTTTAGTGTCCAAATGCATCCAGTTTCTTTTCATAAACTAGATAATCTTCCTATGAATGGAAAAATGTATATTTTTATTTAATTAAACTACAAACATTTTGAATAATGAATTTTTAGTTTAATTTCTCTTACAGGCTGTGTCTTTTAAAAAGGAATTAATCTTTTTTGCAGTACACAAGGTATATAGAACTTGGTGTATCAAAATGGTTTTTAAAAACCCCAAACGTGAGCAAAAATCTGTGTAATATGCAAAATTGCTTGGTAGAAGATAGGAACAGACATGAATTCCACATGGAATAAGCACAGTTAGCTGGAAGTCTTGTGTGCCAACCCCACAGAGTATGAAAGGCCAGATAATAGAGGTTACTAGAGTATTTAACACCTTGCTAGATTTGACAGAAGACAAACACAAACCACCTGAAATCTGATCCCAGAAATTGGAAATTTGGTGGGCCAAAAACAAGCTACATCTAATAGTTTAATGTTTTCTTTTGTAAACATTTTCAGACATATCATTTAGTGATCTGTTACGTCTGTCATTCTGGTTGTTGTACCTGCAGGCTGTTGTTCTAAAATGAATTCAAAATGGAAGTTGAGAATTTTCTTTTTAACCATTGTTTCTGTTATAATATCCTGCCACTGAGTGAATTCTAAATGTTTGAAAGATCAGCTCTCTTCCCTTAAGTAATTAACTGATTAAGTTAACTTGAAATTGCTGCTTTTTCATTGAAGCCAGCCAAGCAGTTGCACCTACTGCCCATTTCTAAATTGTGTTAGGGTACCAGATGGTTTTGTTCTCTACTGCTAGTGAGCTTCCTAATGCCACATTATAAACAGCTTTTTTTTTTGCCAATCTCATTGTAGGTGTTCATTATGAATTGCTTTTGATTTAATCACCAATAAAAATGACATTTTATAATACAAGACTGACTATAAAATTTAATAAGTTAAAAACACAAATAAGAAATTAACCTTTGTGATTTAGGCTTATAGAAATTCATACATGGTACCAGATGTAACTCCTTCACAATTTTCTCATTCTTTTTAGTGGACACAAATGGGCAGCTGTGGTAGGATTGGAAATTCATGCCCAGATTTCCTCCAACTCCAAACTTTTCTCTGGATCTCAAGTGTCTTTTATGGCTCCTCCAAATTCTTTGGTTTCTTTTTTTGATGCTTCTCTACCTGGAACTTTGCCGGTAAGCTTTTTATCTGACCTTATTTTTATTAGTAAGTGTTTGATATATTGGACTTTCTTGTTGTAATACCTTGATATGCTCTGTTTAGGGGACTTTGGATAAAGTGGGATGGGCTAAATGTTTCTAATAACTAATTCTGAATGTATTCATACACCTGTTTACTCCACACACATTTTAGAATGCCTGCTAAACACCAAGTAACTGTCTTATAAACTCATTTGTAAAGATGAGCAATGATCCCAGCCTTTTAGGAGTTCAAAGACTAGTAGTGGTGATGTGTCTTGTAAACAAAGTAGTGATGGTGATGTGTCTTGCACTGTAACTATTTCTGTGAAGGTAAGGGGCAGAGGGTGGTTTTAGAACCCCGAAGAGGAATACATAATTCAGTAAAAGGAAGGACAAATGTGAGTGTTGTAAAGGGTGTGTTTGGTTAATGAAACCGGCTGGAAGAGATGGTGTTTGAGTTATTTGAGAGGCCAGTTAAGAGTCAGGCAGATTAATGAAGGAGGAAGGGGAATCTGTAGTCAAAAGAAGCAGCATATGTCACATGATATGACAGTGTAAGATCAGTAATGATTGTGGTTATTGAAAATAAAGCTGCAGTCAATAATGAGCCAGCCACAACATGCAGAGACTTAACTACTCATTTTCATATCACCCCAGGGAATGACTGGATGTAGTATATCCATTGAGATTTTTATTAGGTATTTTCATATAATTGGGTGAATTTTGAAGGAAAATATAGGACAGTGAAAATGTTTGTGCTGATAAGTAGTTCAAGGTCTGACTAGAATCTATAGTACGGACTGGGTATAGGGTTTCCTGCCATGTTTGAAGAGAGTGTGTATACCTCGTGGGAGTGGAAGCGGGGCCTGCAGGGCTGGTCTTGGATCAGTTTGAGCCTCAGACATTTTGGTATAAATGGAAGCTGGTATTGAACTGAGTATTGGCAGGCTTATAGGAACTCTGTCTGCCTTTTTCAGATTCCTTATTCAGGCAGGAAGTTTCTTGGCCCTACCCTCTCCACCTGGGCCCTTGTGTTGGGGCACTATCTCGTCTTGCACTTTATCCTTATTTATGCTTTGTGCTCTGGAGGACTCCCATTTCTGGAAACCATGTCCAGGGCTGCCTTTGATTTGCTGTTGGGTCTTTAGAGAGATATGGACATAGAGGTCTGTCTTCCCATCCCCAGCTTGGATTAGCTGTCTATAGAGAGAGTTGTTGTTTGGAGAGAGACAGCTGTTCAGTTATGAGAGTTTTTGTTTTGTTTTTGTTGTTTGAGTGGAGACTCAGATATAGTAGAAATAAAAGAATATCTATTCAGACAAGTGAAATGGAAGGCAGCTTATATAACACTTCTATTTCCTTCTCAGTTGAAAACATTTTCCCTATCTGGTAATTTGTGACAAGAGAATAGGCATAAACTCTGAGTCCCTTCTAGATTTTTCTAGCTAAAAATGTGATATCTAGCAGGATGTTTACCATAGTTTACATTTAGAAAAGATCCACTTGTAGATAGGCACATTTGTTTGCAAGAGGCAATAGACTCTTCAGTTGTGCATAACTCGTCAAATATTTAATTAAGATGGTTCAAAATAAGAGGACAACAGACTTCATGTCATACACCAGAAATGATGTTTGATGATAAGCATGTCAGTAAAACAGTGGGAACATTGAGCCTGAAGTGCTTAGCTTACATTAATTAAATGGTACACAGAGGCTAAAAATATTTCTTCTGAGCTACCAATAGTCAGTTTAAGTAGCCTATGTTTATTCTCTGATCCACCTCTTTTCAGAAATGTTTCTGTCTTTAAAGGAGCTAGCTGTTTTAGTACTTGAGTGAAATTATGTCAAAACTCCCAGGATAGAACATCACTGAAAACATTTCAAAATCCCATGTTTTACCTATAAATAGATTTAAAATGTTCTAGAATATTTAGACAGGTGTCCTTCTCTACTTATTGTAGAGTTGCTATGCTGATAGGCTAATATCCTGCCTGGATCTGGTAACTGCTTATAGCCCAGAATTTGAGAGTATGTTTCTGAGAGTTGGAGTTGTTGTTTTGGTCAGCGAAGCCAAGAAGTATGTATAATTCACGATAATGCTTGGCACTAGGTCTTGCTATCTTATTTTGTTGTCTCCTCATTCTTCTCCTTAACCCGTTGACTACTCCTTCTCATGTGCCATTTGTCTTCACCTAGCCCTAACTTGTTGGCTTTCTGTACCTCATTTCTTGGCTCTCACTTCTGTTCCCTGAGTTCTCCTGTGTAATCTTTCATCCTCAGATAGAGCTTTTCTTTCTGCTAGGTACCAGTTGTGTGTGTCTAATGTCATGTGTCTGTGTATTTCTATCCAGATAATTCATGTCTTAAGTTCAGCATGTACAATATTGAGCCTATTACCTTTTTCTCCAGTAAAAATACACCAGTAAACGGAGCAAAAGAATCTTTATAAATGGATATTAGAGAGAAAGTATGTGTATAATACACAGAGAAGCATGTATATTAAAGGAGGATCAAAAATCACTGGGAGGCCAGGGAGATAGCTCAGTAGAATAAGCGCTTGCCTGGCAAGTGCAGGGTCCTGAGTTCAATCCCCAGTACTATAGAAAAAAAAAATCACTGGGAAAAGAAGATATATCCAATTGACAGTTTTGAAAAATTGGTTAGCTATTAAGAAAATAACATTATAGGGGCCGGGGAGATGGCTCAGTGGAATAAGCGCTTCCCTGGCAAGCGCAAGGGCCTGAGTTCGACCCCTGGTTCTGCAAAAAAACAAACAAAAAACAAAAACAACCTTTTAATTGGAAAGATTCTCACCCGGACTAACTATATGTATTGATACTGGTGAAATAAGCAATTGCACTGCAGATGGTAATCTGTAATAGTAGTTTCATGCTTGGAGTGCCTGTCATTCTGGTGTTCTGAATATGGACTGCTTGTCATGACATGCCAGTTCCTGCTACGTTGTCTCTTGGGTAGATGCAAAAATAAGCGGTAGTCAATGAAAGCAAGAGACAGGAAAAGGAATATTGTGGGACTGTCCTGCTTCAAGGTTGTATATGGTTAGATTTTGGACTTATGTGTAAACATAAGAAGTATATAATTCTTTATGCCTATTTTTAAAATATATTCTAATTTTGTTTTTGAAAAAAAAAGAAAATAACATTATAGTTCATTTCATGTATCTAACCAATATTTGTGTGTGTGTGTATGTGTGTATTTACAAGTTAAAAGTAAAATTAAAGTAGAACGAAATAAACTATTCATTTGTCCTGGGATGAAAAGAAATCTTGTAAGTGTAAAAGCAAAAGAAAAACTTCATAAGCAAAATAATGAAGATTTATCTACTTTGATTATCTAACAAATTTATTGACTAATTCTTTTAGGAATATATCCTAGGAAAATAATGAAATATATGCCTGAAAATTTTATGTAGAAATGTCTATAGGATTATTTGTAACAGTATAAAATTGTAAGCAATGAGAATTTCTTGGAGAATGGTTAAGTTATGTGACTCTATGCAGTGGAACATTATGAAATAATAATGTTTATGAAGGATTTTTAATGACATAAGAAAATGCTAAAGATAAATATTTTATTGAAATGAATGGAATTTGCATGTAGGTTATTTAACATTCTTTGGCTTCAGTTTCTTGTAAAATGGTAATACATATGGCTCATTGGATTTTTGTGAGAATTAAATGAATCAATGCCTTTTAAAAAAATACAGTCACTGCAAATCACAAATGCTCCACAATTCTGACCTATTAGTATAACTTGTAGGGACTGCTGGCTTTCGTTGTCACAGAGAGCGCCCTGAATTATCAAGCACAGTTGTGTTGCCAGTGACAGCAGCAAGGGGTGTCCTACAAAAAAGATGTTCCCTTAACCTGGATCTTACTCGTTAAGGAATCTAACTCACAAAACAAACCTGTTGCTCCTGTCACTTCAGGGGTACATGGAGACCTAGGGGAGCAGTAAGAAAGTAATAGGAATATGTTGGATGGAAATACTTCTCAATTAGAAATAATGCACTTGAAAAATAATAGGTTGGTAAGATTCTTTTTTTTCAATCCATATATAGTAGCTGGATTTTGTTTTGGTACAAAAAATAGTGACTTTTTGATTCTCAGATACTCTAATAAGAGAATAGAAAAGTATACCCAGAAGAATTTAGATTTTAATGCAAATTGGAGTCATGTGTATTTTTTTTTGCTCAGCTACTCATAATTATGGAAGCCCAAAGTGGCTTAGAAGAGTAGTAGTGGTTTAAATGTCTCAAGATTAATAAATATTTATTGAGTACCTTCAAGTGCAACGTATGCTGTTTTGATTAAGTAAAAAAAAGATAGTTGCTTAAAGAGGGGTACATGTCTTTCTGCACCCATTTGTTAGGGCTTGCGTCTAGATGTCCCCTGAAAGCTTCCTCAGGGAAGCCATCATCCGTGGAGCCTTTTGGAGGTGGGTGGATGTAGGGTGTATGTTGCTGGAATCAAGGATGCCATGCTGGGATTAAGGGTGTGAGTGCTACCTGCCCTCAGGGTGGATAGCCTGAATAGATATAAGGGACAGAGAGTCCTTGCTTGTCACCATGCTGCCTTCTGCATGCCATGAGCTGTTTCTCCTCTGTGATGCCCCTCTGCCAGCCATCTCTGAACTAAACTGAACTACAATAAAGTTTCCCTCCTTTAACTTTGGGTGTCAGGTATTTTGTCTCAGCAACAAGAAAAGTAAGACACCATTTATTTTGCCACTCTGTCAGTTGTCTCTACTTATTTACTGCTCAGCTGACACTGATTGGATGCTTCCCATGTGCTGATCTTGCATTAGCTCTCATGACACAGCCTAGAACTACAATAGGTAGAGGGTAGACATGAGACCTGCCCTAGTGGAGCACTTGGACCTGTTACTCAGCGTTGTTGGTGGTGGAAAGATACTGTGCTTGAGGATTGTATAGGAGAAGCTTTCAGAGATACGAGCAGGCTGTGAAATGGGCC